TTTGGGGATGTTTAAGGCTTTGGAATTTGGGGATTAGGGAGGTTTCGGAGTTTGGGATTTAGGGGTTCAGGGCCTCGGGGCTCACGATTGTTTTGGCCTTGTGGGGTCTTGGGCTCGGGTTTAAGCTTATGGCTTGGGGACTTGGGCTTTAAGGCTTGGGGACTTGGGCTTTAAGGCTTGGGGACTTGGGCTTTAAGGCTTGGGGACTTGGGCTTTAAGGCTTGGGGACTTGGGCTTTAAGGCTTGGGGACTTGGGCTTTAAGCATTCTGGGCTGTGGGCGTTGAAACTGACGCCTCAGAAAGTTCAGGGCTCGCGAAAACGACGTGCGAAATCAGAAAGGAGGAACACGAGCGATTACCCCAAAGTCTAAACCTTCAACAACGAGACGAAGAGTAGAAGCTATCTTCAACATTAAGCTGATGGCAATGATCCTGACAACACCAGCTCTAGCGATATGGAGTAAGAAGACCACCAATGCTATCAACATCTCATGACCTTTGGGTTCAAGGAGCTCTTTCTTGCACCAGCAACCACCTACTAGGCCACTCTCTCACTGGACTCGAATTCCATGCTGATGGATGAGATCTGTCTGGACATGCGGGTCGACAGATTTCAGCCACCAACCAGCTTCACGTCAATGTTGATCGAATTGCACAGTCACTGCAGTGATATTGTCTGCGCGCCCCTCGGTTCCAGGGAGGATGAGGCCCTCCGACAAAGCCCAGCATGTAACACCACGTAGGAGGATGATGATCATGGTGATCATGCTGTTTGCATGGCTTGTAAGCGGCCGCTATGCTAAGACGATCATCGAAAGGCGGCGGTGGCGGCGGCGGCGGTGGTGGTGGTGGTGGTTGATGATGACATACATATCATGTAGACTGGACAACATCTGATGACGATGATGATGTTGCTGATAATGATAGTAGCAATAACAAAGACAAAAGAGCATCTAAAGGCTATGCAGGTGACGCTGCCGCTCTGATGACAGGGATGATGCCCGCGGCAATGAGAAAGCTCAAGAGTAGCCCTCGTGTTACCGCCAATACCTGGCCAATTTGACAACACACATTCCAGGCGTAAGCAGCGATAATCAGATGAAGACTATGCACGAAACAACACTGTGCAACAGCAGTCTGAATTCGTGACACTGGTAGAAGACTCACACTCTAGCAAACATTACAAAATATAACAACCAGAACGAACCAATGTCATAATGCAATGGAAACAGGAATAGTACCACTAACAACAGCAATAAACTACAATTTACAAGACCAGCACCTCGCTGTAAAAACTAGAGAGACAAAGTAGCACTAGTAGCCCAGTCAATCATGAAACGGTGCCCACAACGACCTAAATAAGCAACGAATGACTTGAGAACCCATCATAAGAGCTGAACTTGTATTGTAGCCTCCATCTGACACACCGCATAGAAACCCAACCGTAAAGCCTAAAGCCAACCAAAACACAAGGTAAACCCCCAAAACCAAAAAAACAAACCCCGCCCCTTTAAGCCCCTTTTTGGAGCCGCCTTGAAGCCCGCTTAAAGGCCCCCCCTAACCTGAGCCTCCGACCCCAGTCTTCGCCTCACCGTGTCAGGGGCACACGGACTTTGCCACCCAGAAACTCCAAGCTACTTCAGGCTTGGGGGGCTCTTATGGTGTAGGGCTTAGGGTTCAAGGCTTAGGGCTTTTAGTGTTTAGGGGCTTAGGACCAAGGTTTGGGCCTCAAAAAACAACCCTAATTCACAGAACTACCCTGAAAGAGGTCAGTATTTCGTACTTGGGGGGTCCGTTGCTAAGAATCGCTGCCATGACTTTATGGATTAAGCCAAGAGTTTGCTCTGAGTCAATGAGATTCACGGGATTTGGTTTAGGGTTTGGGGTTTAGAATTCAGGGTGTCTGTGGCTTCAGTGATTCTGAGTTCAGGGGTTGGGCTTGATATGTATACGGGTTGAAAGGGTTTTGGGCTTAAGGGCTTGCTTGACGTTTAAAGGCTTTGGGGTTTGCGGTCGGATTGGGCTTTCGGCTTCCGGGCTTTGGGGTCTAGGGTGTTAGGGAATACGATTTCAGGTGTGGGGGGTTCAGGGACCGGGATCCGCAAATCTGGCTTGAAAGCATAGAGAGCAAATAACTCGACAAAATGTCTATGCCCTGTCTGTATGGAACCGTAAACCCCGAAACTGCCCACTCTGCCTGCTCACGCAAAGCCGAGGTGACCAACGCTTCCGCGGGGTGCTCGCTCTTCGCTGCCGCCTTCATGGCTTCAGGTCTGGGCTTATTTAGGGTCTTTTTTTTTTGAGCACCTTTTTCCATCCGCCTAAAGTCTTAGGACTCCGGAATTTAGGGTCTAGGGTTTAGGGTTTTGGGGTTTATAGGGCTTGGGAGTCGAGGTGCCTTCTTCTGAGGTCGCCACTGCGGTTTTGAGGATTGAAAGATCCATGGCTTGCAATTTTGGGTCTCGGGCTTTGGACTTTTCAAGGTGAAGGATACAACAAAGAACAGGCAGATCTGCAATACAACCTATGGCTCAGGGCCCTGTGCTTTAATCTGTTAGGCAGATCCGCCGACTGCATGCCCGTGCCTCCTGGAAAATGCGGACGGCCTGGCCGAATCGGACATCTGCAAAATGCTGTTCGTGATTGACAGCGACCCGAGCACGGCTGCAAAGTTGGAGTAGGGTTTACGGGTTTGGGTGTAGGGCGTAAGCCATTTGGGTATAAGACAACGGCTTCCGAAAAAGCCCTGCTCTGCTCGGTGTTAGAATGCCCCCCCTCAGCGGCCTCTCAAGGAAACCCCCACCGGCACCTCCTGCGTGCTGATCACGTCCCACAGCCCATCCGATGCCAGAACGAGGGAGCGGACAGACTTGTAGGGCGAGTGCCCCATGCGAATCACCCTGAGGCAGGAGAGGATGCCAGTCTAGGGGCCTCACAGGGAACCCAATATTGACTGAGAGATTTAAGGATCTCTGGTTTCTGTGAGTGAATCATAAGTAGAATCAATGGCCTCCGGGTACTTACAACTCTACTTATGCAGTACTTAAAAGCTCCACTCACCATACTGCTTGCAAGTAAACGAGAGCATGACGGGACCCTACCGAGCCTCAAGAACTTTCAGAATGCCTTGCGAGCCCTCCTTGTTTAGGCAGAGCTTATTCTTATGGTTTCGGATTTAAGCTTCAGGGTTAAGACGGTTCACAGTTGTTTTTGCTAAGGATTTTAAGGTTTAGGGGTTCAGGCCGCCTTTCGAAGGCAAACACATGGAGCCCAGCATCTTATCACATAAACATGTTCAAGGGGGCCACAACCCGAAACGGTAATTGCCCACCCTAACCCTCTAGGAGCCTTGCAAGACCTGTAACACACACGCACACGCACGCGTTATGAAACCTGAAAACAAACCTGGGAAGAGTCCAAGTAGAAGAATCTCTTGGACCCCACACCTTACATCCGGTTGGCTGCTCATGCCAAAGACTTTCAGGTCCTGCGCGCTCTTTTGAAGCTATGGGTTGAAGGTTAACGGGTATATTGTATTCAGGGCTGAGTATCCTAGCCCAGAAAAGGTTAACCTTTTCAATGCAAGCCCCCAAAACTTAAAGGTTACTTACTCAGCTCCTAAGTATGGGATCCACCACAAGGGCTTCGTCCTTAATGTATCCAAAGCTTCAGAAACCAGGCCTTGGGTTTCAGGTTCAAGGTCTAGGAAAAAGACCCCTAAACTCCAATGAGTTGAATATAGCAGCCTTTGACAACTAGACCTGGTTTTAGGTCTACGTTCTAGTATTTAGCTCGTACCTTACTTCCCGAGTACCCATGGGGTCAAAAGTTCAAACTTTCAGAATAAGACTACCTTATAAGATGACAAAATAGGTTTTGAACCAGTGCGTGTAAAAAAGTACGTATTCCCGACCTGTACAGAAGGTTCTAGGGCCCGTGTTCAGATCTTGGAACTGGGATTGTGGCCTTAATCTACACGGGCCGTAACGATGAGAATGGGGCTTTGGAGTATATAATAGTAGATTCATAATACGGAACTCTACGGAATAACATTGGAACTTTTTCAGGCCTCTATGTAAAAGGACTCCTGGGGCTTCAGGGTTGTCCTTGAAAAGCGACTCTGGAAGCATGCACATGGAAGGCTGATATCAGACTTGACCCATAGGATCTGAATTCTAGGCTTCTGGTCAGGAATGCCAAAGGCTCGGAACGCCAAGTCTGAACTCCGAAACTAACGCTGGCTTGGCGTCCTTGGCGCCAAATGCGCGGGAGTATTGTAGCTGCATGGGCTGCTCCCCCAGTCCCTGCAGAGGGCTGAGATTGAAACCCGAAACCCATCACGCATAGAGATCGATTTGAAGGGACCCTACCACTGCCCTTGTAGTAGCCGTAAACCCATAACGCCAACACAGCTCTTCACTCTTCTTGCAAGAACTCTGAGATGCCACCATAGCCATACTCCTGAATATTGCGTAAGACTAGGGTTTAGGGTTTTGCAGCTTTGCGGACGCCTTTCTACTGTGACCCTGTGCGCTATACTGTAGAAAGTCTGCAGGAATCACTCTACTCTCTCTCAGTTTGGGCTCTGGCTTTTACTTACATTCTTCAATGTCCACATGAGCTCATACATAATGTTTAAAGCACACCCCACCGGTGTTCAACATCTGGTTCGGTTGGTGGCAGACTAGAAATCACCAACCCTAAACCTGTAAGCCTAAACCCCGAAGCGTAAATCCCTAACCCTGAACGCCGAACTGTCAAGACGGTCAGCCTGACAGAAACAGGTATGCCTCTTGCTATGTGCACTCCCCTGGACTTTCAATCAACCTGAGCTTGGGGCTACTAGCTACTCTAGGTCCTTTCGTTTAGGGCATTGTTACTGTGTCTTGTTTTTGACTAGTTTCGTTTCTGCTTGAGGTGATGCTCGTGGTTCTTGGTAGGAAGCGTTGACTGTAACGGCTGCCCTCTTTTGTCCTGCAAGAGTTCTGTACAATCTCGAATTATCGCGTGCGATCTCTACGCAACCTGACGGCATCTCTCAGCATCTGCACCTCAGCGTCTCAACGCCGAAAACGCAACCATTGAGCCTTAAAGCATTGATGCCCAATACCTAAAACCCTAAACCCCCTAAACCCTTAACCCTAAACCTTACTAAACCCTGAACACTAGACCCTCCCTCAACCGTTGAACCTAGGCCTGTCTCTAGTGACAAGCCCCCTGTTGGGGTTAATTAAGGCTATTGGTATGAAGGTGAAATTACAGGGTTGGGTCTGGTGTGTCCGATGTTCTTCCAGATCATGACTGGCTGCTTGCCAGCTACTTCCGTTGTTGTTCCACCTGTCGCCTATGTTCAGAGGAAAGGCTCGATTGCTATCAATTCTGCTGCTACTTTTCTATTAATACAGAAGTTGCTCGAACCCCGGCTGTCTGACACAGTGGCTCTGCAGTCTTCGTCTATGGTGCATTGGGTTTTGATTATATACTACTTAGAGACACTGGGGCTTGAAAGCGATGGTAGATATACGCAGGTTTAAATCACAACAGCAATGTCGACGATATGGCCGATACGGCCTGCCGCTGCCACTGCTGCCACGACTTACAACTACTTACTACTACTCTCCTCTACGAAACATTATAGGGTTGGTTTGCGCCCCTCAACATTCCAAAGCCACAGCCCCTCAAAGAAGTGCTCCTTCATGATCTCTCAAAGCACCACCACTACTACTACGACTACGACTACTACGACTACTACGACTACTACGACTACGACGACGACTACTACTACTACTACTACGACGACCACTACCACCAATACTACTACGAATACTACTATTACTACTATTACTACTATTACTACTATTACTACTACTACTACTACTACTACTACTACTACTACTACTACTACGACGACGACGGCGACGACGACGACTACTACTACTCCTACTCCTACTGCTACTGCTACTGCTACTGCTACTGCTACTGCTACTACTACTACTACTACTACTACTACTACTACTACTACTACTGCTACTACTACTGCTACTACTACTACCACCACTACTACTACTACTGATGAGAACCAACAGTAACAACACCGAAAAGAAAGCATGTCAACAGTCCAGCAAAGACCGAGAACCGTAAACCCCCAGCCCGGACCCTGAACCCTCGAGCTTAAACTTCCAAACCCTAAACCCTGAACCCTAAACACTACGTAAACCCCAAAACCCTAAACCCTAAATCCCAGATTCTCTCAATTTCTGAAGACCTAAGCGCCAGCACGCGCCCAGGATGGAGGCCGGCCCACTGGCCTGCAGAAGCTTGGGTTTGGTGTTTTGGGCCAAGGGTTGAGGGTTTAGGGGTTAGGGCTTAGGGTTTAGGTTTAGGGTTTAGGATGGTTTAGGGTTGAGGGTTTTGGGGTTTTGGGTTTTTGTTTAGGGTTTTTGGGGGGTTAGGATGGTTCAGGGGGTAGGGTGGGGGGCGAAGGCTTCTGGGTGTTAGGGTTTCGGGTTCGTAGGGCTTAGGGTGCAGAGCCTGTAGGGTTTAAGGTTTATAGGGTTTAGGGTTAGGGTTTGGGCAGCCAGCCTTTAAGGATCTTCAGGGTGTCGGAAAGCACGACTTCAACCAGCCGCACAAACCCCTACGCCCTGAAACCCTGCACCCCTAAACCCCTAGACACCGAAACCCTTAAACCCTTAACGCCAAAACCCTGCAGCCCCAACCCCTAGACACCTAAACTTAAACCCTCAACCCTGAAACCCTAAACCCTGAACCCTCAACCCTCAAACCCCTAGAGCGATTTTGAATCTTCCAGAGGTGGCCTGCAAGTACTGCCCGCAGGGGAGCCCAGTGGGCACGCACCACGGGATCCTCCGAAAGAGGCTGCCTACGATTTCTCGGGCTCTAAAAGGGGTTTAGGGGTTCAGGGGTTTAGGGTTTAGGGGCTGAGGGTCTAGGGGTCGTGGGTGGAGGATTCTGAGGCTTCTATTTTTTGAGGGTTCTGGCAGGGTTTTGGGTTTTTTGCCCTTGGAGATGCATCCTTCTCGTCGGAGGGATTCAGCGACATGGCTCGAAGGTCGTGTTGGGTGTGGAGCCAGCTATATAAATCCTAAACCCCTAAACCATAAATCTCTAAACCTAAAACTCCTCAACGTTGGAGTCCTCAAGACTCAAAACTTCGAACAGGCAGAAAACGTACCCGAGCTCGGGAAGCAAAAACGGTGGTGTGATCCTCTGGCGTAGCTTACAGCACGCCATGAGGGTGCAAGCGTTCGGTAACTTGGGCTTCGGGCTTAGGTTTGGAGGTCATTGACAAATTGGGGTTGTTGGCTCAGGGATCAGCTTACGAAAGCTTTGCACCCATGATTCGACAATTTGGGCTTTGTGTGTGCAGCCCAGAGGGATCAAGTTTTCGGTATTCAGGGTTTGGAGCTTGGACACGTTAGGATTCAACCTTTCGGTACTTGCTGTGCTGGGATACTGTGTTTGGGATTTGGAGCCATTTCGGTATTTAGGGTCGAGGGTTTATATAGAGCCTTTGGGACTCCAGCTGGTAGTTCGGGTCTAACGTTTGGAGCCATGACAACTGAAGCATTAGTGAGTCAAGGCTTTCTAGCCAGGAAGGATGTACATCCAAGCTATTCTGCCTATGATACTCGCAACCCTAAACTCTTCTCCCTAAACCCTGAATCCGAAGACTCCTAACACCTAGACGGCGTATCCCAGCCATCCTTGTCGGTGGGATCTTCGTGCGGAGGTGCCCAGCCCGAATCCGTGATCTCGAAATCGAGATCCGATCGCTGGCAACTGACCTGGAAAGAGCTGTGAAAACATGAGAGTTTCCGAATATATGTGGCCCTAATAGAGTACCCTATATAGTAGGATCCATATTGTAAGGACCCCCAAATAAGGTAGATATTGACTATAGATAGAGGAGTTGGAGATTCGAATTCGTCTGACTCAGATTCAATGAATAATAGATATTGATTCCTGCTTAAGTGCCTCAGGAAACAAAGCAGCAACATGCAAATGGTTGCCACATGCTGCCATGACGCCTGAGAGCCCAACAAAGCTAAATCTCAAGAACCTTCAGCCCTAACCGGTAACTTTATCCTGAAAGCCCATAAGCCTAAACCCCAATTCAAGAGAGCCCAAGCTCAAATGCCTCGGCCAGGATGTAGCGACACCCAAATTTGTCCTCATCCAGGTGGAGACCTGCAAATGTGCTAAGATTTAGGGCACCCAGAGCCCTCAGATTTAAGGTTTCGGGCTTGGGATTTAGAGTTTCAGGCTCGGGGCTCAGGGCTTAAGGGGTTGAAGGTTTCGGGTTCAAGGCTTAGGGCTGAGGGTTTCAAGTTCAGGGCTTGGGTTTAGGGTTCAAAGTTTAGCTTGGGCTAGGCTAAAAGGTGACATGGGCATGGGGGGTTTCTTCAGGCTTCTTGTGTTTAGGACTTTTCGAGAATCAGGCGCGGGATCATGATGGGACTCAGCCAGTGGGCTGAGGGCACCCCAACTCAATGCTTCTCGCACTTCCTATATAACCTACTTGCTAATACGGCAGAGCTTGTTGCGCATAGAGTCTAAGCCCCAGGATTCTCGCTCCAGGCTCTAGGGACAGGAGGTGTCGTTTAGGGTGCAAGGGCTTCGGGCAGGACGTTCTTCAGAGCTCAGGGTTTGTTGAATGGCACGGCGTTGAGATTGGGTATTTGTAGCTGGAGCACTTCACAGTCCCTGTGGAGCCATCCTTACTACTGGGGCCTCAATATGTTTTGGGGTATGTTATACCTAAATATAATAATGAACCCCCAAAAAATTGTAATTATTGAGGCCCCTATAGTACACATGCTTGCGGGATCTCGGACTCGTGAAACCGCGAACAGCGCAGAGCTTCGGCGCCTGTGTACAGGTTCAAGCGATCCTGCCGAATGCCTGTTTCTTCCAGCAGCCTCAGCGCGAGGATAAAGGAGGTGAAGAGCAGGGCAGACAGTGATACCGAAATCCATAAACCGGCAATGTTTGCAACGGGAAATGCAATAGCCGCAGTCGTCGCGGTGCTCGCGTGCGGCAGCAGCAGGAGTCGGTCGTGGTGGTAGCCGCCGCCGCTGCGTGGCTGCTGATGCTGCTGCTGCTGCTGCTGCTGCTGCTGCAGGTGGCGTGCGCAAGTATGCATGTCTTCACATCTCGGGCTGTGCTGATTTAGGCGTTTGGCTTTTAGATCTATGTTAGAGGTATATAGACCTGATATATCTTATTGCCGAAAAGTCGTTGTGTGCATACATGCATACATGTACATGTATATGTAGCAACATCATGGCCCCTGGCGTGAAACATCATCCTGAATTGCAACTACAATTATGCTTTCTTCCGAGTCCTTGTCCCGTTCAGCTCACGATGGGAGTACTCAAAGTCTTGGCAGTCTGCATGACGTGATCCACAGAGGGACCTGCTAACCATCTGCGTGCCAACGGCTTAAAAACCCTAAACTCCCAAAATCCCCCACCCCAAACCCAGAAACCCAAAGTCCCCCTCTCGTTTCTTTCCAAAACCCATGTTAAAACACAAGACGACACCACATTCCTGACGCGCGGACACCCGGTACTGAATTTGCCAAGCTGCTCCCTGTAAGCGCAGTCCAGCACGCTTCCGTCTGAGAACTTCCTGGGATCGGATGTAAGGGAGGTTTTGGGGGCTCTACAATGCTCTAGATGCAGGTCCATAAGGATTTTAGCATGAGTTTAGGGGGTTTAGAAGGGTTGTATATGGCTTCGTAATCGGTTGAAAAAGCTATTAGGGTCCCCTAAAACCCAAGTCCTTGAGGCGCCCTGCTCCCCGAAACACTCGGTCGTTTTAGGGTTCCTAGGGTTTAGGGTTTACTGTAGGGGTTTAGGGTTTAGGGTATACCAACAACAAGGATGCATAAACCTGCAATGGTCGCTGGAAGAAATCAGGCCTGGGTTTCTCCGAACCCTAGACCCAGACCGTGTCAGCTGCGCAGGGATGCACGTAGCCAAGCAGCTTGCCACCCTTGGGGAAGCTCAACTTCTTGCTGGAGGACTCGACCAGGCAGACATACACCTCATTCTTGAGTGGTCGCCGTTGGTGTAGAGTTGAGCGTTTAGGAGTTTAGGAGTTACGATGCAGGGTGTGGGATTTGAAGTATGCAAACTGTGTAAACACTAGCATCCTTTCATACCATCCGTATACACCTCCCTCAGACAGCGCTAGGGGTCCATCCCGGCAAGGCTTCTGAATGCTAGGCGCGCCACTAGCGATCTGAAGGAGAAGGTCCCAGGGGCTGAGAGTTCGTACCACCGGTGCTTTGGAGTTTTGGCGAATGAGCCTCAAGCCCCAAATGCTGTAACATAGGGACCTGAGCAATCAGACGAGATCTCGGCGGGGCTTCAGACTATCAGTCTAACGGAAAACCATCCAAAAACGCTGCTACTAAATACTCAAAGCGCCTGAATACATCTTCCATATTACAAACCCTGATAGCCAAGATTCCCACATCCTCAGCTTCAACCTGCCATCGCCACCCTAAATAAACCCTGCACTCCTTCGCTCTCAAACCCCACCGCTGAGAGCATCGCCGATGCCTCCGATTCTGCATCCGCGCCCTGTAGCTGGGTGACAACAACTGCAACAACGGTACCGACAATGATAACAACCCTAAACCCTAAACCCATACGAGGCGCCTTCCAGTCTCAGATATTACTGATACGAAAACGCCCATTAGCATCATAGCAATACCTCGCAACATTGGTGCAATACTTTTTTCCATGCAACTCTGTGGCGTCTCTCAACCCTGAGCCGAGGTCCTGCTTTGTTTCCGAATCCGAAGACATTCGAGGGGCCCAGCTATTCCAATACCGAGGAAAGAAAATGAAGCAAATAACAAGAAACATGAAAGCAACAACTCCTTGCTAAACGGCGTAAACCCTAAAACCCTAAACGCCTAAACCTGGTTTCACCCTCGCCTCCTCCTGCACCGATCGGAAGGCGATGACCCCAGCACCCCGCGGCGGGCGGCCGCGCCAGTTTCCACCGGACAGCGACGGGACCTCCGCGCTTAGGGTCTGGAGTTCAGGGTCCGGGGGCGGTATCTTCAGCAATGAGTACTGCATGCGTGGACGTATATACATACATACATACATACATAGATACATACATACATACATACACGCATACGTACATAGATACATGCATACATACCTACGCACATACATACATCCATCCATGCATACATGACAAAGAACGGAGAGATCCTCAGAGGCTTCAGGGTTGGGCGAGTGTTGAACTTCTCGATGGTCCATGGTGTTGAAAACTCAATACTTTTGTGGTGGCCTAGAAAGCTGCGCCTCTGAAACACTGCTTTATGGATTGACACGCTACTGACACGTTGACAGCCGGAGAGAGCGGTATGACCCAGCAGCGGCTGACTTCAAGATCAATGAAGGGCTTTGACGGGTCAAAGGCGCAAGTCGAATTTCTCGGCACATGCTTACACAGGCCTTTGAAGTTTGTGGAACCGGTTGCTGTCATCTGAGAGGCCAAACTGTTTCTGCAAGCGGGGTATAGCAATGCCAAGGCATCCTGAATGTAAGGTACTCCACATCCAAGGAGCGACATGTTACACTGGTGACGACGACTATGAAATTCATGTCCCCTATCTTTTCACGAACTTGTGTGTGTGTGTGTGCGGGAGAGAACTGTCGGACCCCGCCTAGAACGTGGGATCAACGGCGAGACCGGCTGGCAAGGCGCTCTAAACCCCAAACTGGAGGACCCGAAACTCCAAATGCCCTCATGGAGGTGATTCAGGAACGAGCAGACAACAAGGACGATCGAACGAGAATGAGAACTAGGGTAGAAACACTCTAACATGACTGAACATGCAAAGAAACAAACAACCGAGCCAACAGACAACAAGTACACAAACCCCAGCAATATGAAGCATATAGGCTATATAAGCCCTAAACCCTAAACCCTATAAGTTCAGGAGTCTCGGAGTGAGAAACGAGCCCTACACCCTACTCCAATTGTTAAGGCCCCTACACTAAATCCCTATAGTAGCCCTTATAGATCCTTTAAAGGAACCCTATTCTATAGTAGCCCTTATAGATCCTTTAAAGGAGCCCTTATAGATGCTTTAAAGGAACCCTATTTCAGCGGGCCTCTGGCCAGGCGCCAGGCGCCGCCTGCGAGGCCTCGACGGGACAAGGTCTTGCAGCGAGCTTTAGGGTCGGAGCTTACAGGGCCCGTTTAGGGTTTAGGGTTTAGGGTTTAAGGTTTAGGGTTTAAGGTTTAGGGTTTAGGGTCTAGGGTTTAGGGTGTAGGGTGGGACCCCAATTTCAGAGAACTACCCATTTATAGGCTATCATATAGGGCTTAGAGTTAGGGATTTAGGATGTGGAGCTTACTGTAGGGGCCTTAATAGTTAGAATAGGGCTCCTTTAAAGGATCTATAAGGGCTACGATAAGAGCTATTATACGGATTTGGTGTAGCAGCCTTAACAATTAAAACAGGGTAAGGGCCCGCTCTTGTAAAATTATGGTAATGGTTTAGGCCCCTATATTAGGGATTTAGGATGTATGGAATTGGAAATTCGGTGTTCGGTTTAGTTCAGGGGTCGTGATGTGAGCTTTTTGATGGCTTGGGAACTGCAGGGTTTGGAACTATCTGCTGTGCCCTTCTAGCAGTTTGGTGATTTGGGGTGCTGGGGGAAAGGACTGCGTGCGGTCTGGCAGTGTCAGCGTGAGAGCTGCGGCTGTGGAGGACTAAAGTTTAGGGTTTTTTGGCGTGTGTTTGGTGTGTGCCCATGTGGAAGTTTCCGAAAATTAGGGGTACCTTATTTGGGGTCCTTACAATGAGGATCCTACTATTTAGGGTACTGTATTAGGGTCTCGTATTTTCGGAAACTCCCATGTGGAGCTTCTGTGACTCCACGGCTTTTGAGATATCAAAGATTACGGCTCTGGGGCTTTGGGTTTAGAGGTCTAGGAGTCAGGGGCTCCGGGACTTTGCGGCGAGGGGCACATGTTTGGGGTCTTGGATGCTTGCCGCTTTAGTTTAGGATTCGGCCGTAGGTCTAGCGTTTAGGCGGGGGGGTAGCGGTTCAAAAACCGTTAGGAGAGGGTTGTGTGGTATACCCTGAGCACGAGCTTAGGGTCAAACCCTACACCACAAAACTTAAACTCGAGAATTACGGGGCTAGGGGGAGGTTTGGGGTGTAGGATTCCAGGCATGTGTTGAAGTTTGACATTTTTTTAGGATTTAGGGTTTAGGGAACCCTCAACCTCAACCGGCCTGAATCGGTCCGGGTGGTCGGGCAGCGACGACCTCAGAGGGAGGTAGCCACGCACTCGAGCACCCGGTGCTTCAGAGATGCTGGGTGCCACACCCTCGGGTCCGCCCCTGTCCCTGATGGCAATATAGGACCTGCTGGCGCAGCTCTTGCGACTGCTTTCATAATATCGCGCCCCCAATAATTAGAATTTGGAGCCCATTATACTATATATTTACAATAGGGAACCCCTAAAATAGTACTGCATTGGTAACTATTTAGGCCCCTATATTAGGGTTTTGGGTTTAGGGTCTTGTGACTGCTCCAATTTACTTGCGTCATCCGACCTGGTGGATAGGGGCAGCCGCCCACTGAGAACATTGACCTTAGACAAGGCACGACCGCTAAGTAATGTCTGGTGGCAGCTGCTGTTCATTAACAAACAGATTCAAAAGGAGAGAGCACATGGCTGTGTACGCTGTGCTTCCAACGTCCACGAAAAGGAAGCGCACGAATAGGAAGCGGACACAGAGACTTATGTCTGCTTCCATCAAGATGGACTCCAACCCTGCATGCTATGCAATTAAACCCCCAACTCAAAACCCTAAACAACCCTGCATAAACTCTGCAAAATCCCAATCAAAAAAATCGAATCACTGCATGTGCAAAGACATTGCTGCTAGACAAGGGACGCCGCGCTTTCGCGGTTGGGCCCGTAGCCTTCTTCGGTTTGGGATTTCGGGGTTTTGGGGTTTAGAGATTGGGATTTTGGATTTTGGATGTTAAGCAACTCGGAGTTTTGGGGCTTCGGTGATGCAGGGCTTTTAGGAGTTTCGAGTCCAGAGTTCGGGTCTTAGTGTTTAGAATTCTGGATTTGGGAAGCAGGTTGAGGTTTTTGGGTCTAGGGCGGTGGATTGTAATTCGGGGTTGAAGGGCTGGATTGTTGATTTTCGGGAGTGACGGGTTGGCTTTTTCAGGGGTCCAACGGTTGAGTTTCGAGTTCTGCGTACTGAGGCTTCAGGGTTTAGGAGTTTAGAGTTCAGGGCTGAGCGCAAGATGATCCAGGTGGTTCCAAACTATTTCCCTTTCAGAAACCTTAGAGCCCGCACAAGCTTAGCCCAAAGGACTGGACTTTATTTTGGAATTTCTTGGAGCGCTTGTATACCCCTAAACCCTGAAACCGTATCCAAAGCCTCGACAACCTAAACCCTAACACCCACGACCCGAAACTCCCTTGCGTTTTCTGGCCCGAATCGTCTGCAGTGGGCCTCAAAAAACAAATCTCCAAAGACCTATACCCTAAACCTTTAAACCGGACAACTAGAAACCCATAGAAACCTCAACAACCCCAAACCCTAAACCCTAAGCCCCTAAGCCCCTCAATTCCAATCACTGACCTTGAGGTGCTCTTCAAAAGCTCCAAAAGGCTCGGTGCCAGACCGTCCCCGGCGCTTCTTTGCCCCAGCGTGCCTTAGAAGAAGGCTTTAAGGCTTCAGGAATATGGGGTTTAGGGTTCGGGGGTTCAGGGTTGTGGGTGTTTTGGGTGTTTTGGGTTAAGGGTTTGGGGTTTCGGAATTATAAAGGATCTAGGGTTTCGGATTACAGGGTTGTGGGTTTAGGGTACATGCTTCAGGGGTTAGGGGTTGCAGGGCTTCGGGCTTCGGGTTTAGGGTTTAGTTTAGGTTTCAACACGATTTTGGGACTAACAAGGACTTCGAGGGTTGGAGGCTGAGCACCCAGGATTTGCGGGCTCAGGTTTCACCACCAAATAACTGAGAAGTTAACCCGAAGACTATGCAGACTTGGGGAAGCAGCAGCGGAAGCAGCAGCGGTAGTAGTAGCAGCAGTAGCAGCAGCAGCACCTGTACCAACAGCAGTAGCCTTAGGAGCAGTAGCAGCGCCAGGAGTAGTAGCAGCAGAAGCGTTGAATTTGCAGTAGTAGTCGTCGTCGTAGTCGTAGTCGTAGTCGTGGTCGTAGTCGTCGTTGCAGTAGCAATAAGAAGACTACGAGTCATACCTAGATTCTGAGATCAGGATTGCAGAGCTCTCAGTCTTTAAACCCCTGACTCCCCAAACCCTAGAGCCCCAAACCCTCAGCCCTAAAACGGAAACTCTAGGTCCTAAACCCCAAGACCTAAACCCCATATCCTCAACCTGAAACCCTAAACCCCAAATCCTCAACCCGAAACCCTAAATCCCACGTAATAGACCCTAAACACGAAAACCCCTCTCTCTCTCTCTCTCTGTCTCTTTCTCTTTCTCTCTCTCCCTCTCTTTTGATTTTGGTAATGAAGGACCTATACTATTTTGGGGGTTCCTTATTATAGTCATAGTATAATGGCCCCAAAACCCTATCCTAATCATTAAGGCCTCGGGGTTGCTCCCTCTGGTTCTGACGGTATCTCGCTGCTTCCCTTCCGGCTTGGGGCCGTGCGACCCCAGCGAGCGGTCATCGCAGCAAACGTTACGAAGTCATGGACATGTCTGTAAGGGTTCTAGTGGGGTCCTCGGGGTTCAGCATAAATTGTGCTAGAAAGGGCTCTGTAAGGGTTCTTACCCGGGCTCCGCTGGGGTTCTAGAGGGCTTCTTTTGAGTTCAGAGCTTCCGGGTCGACTCATCCCAGCAGGAGGTTAAAAAAAAGTGCTAGAGTGGTCAAACTAAGAAAGGTGTATTGATAACCTGTTAGAATCATTGGCGAATACACATGTTATGTCGTTCGGTTAAACCCTAAAGCCTGGACCTCTCAAATAAACTTGTATGTCTTACTTCAGGGGTATTCAGCACTGGAAGGCTACCTGGTGCCTGAGCGGCCGAAGTTCATGAATGATCGCACATCGCATCATGGGCATTTCAGCATGCAGCTCGACTTCATCTACTGGCTGATTATGGCTTAGGGCTCAGGGCTTTTAAGGTCTGGTGGTCTAGGACATGGCTTTGAGGGCCAAGGAGGCTTTGGTGGTTTTGGAGTTTTGCGACAGTGCTCGAAAAAGGCCGGGGGCAGTGAGACACAAAGGAGCCTGCGGCGCGATTTTAAGAGCTTGCAGGTGGACCCAGCTGCCGAAGAAAACACACTAAACCCTCTAAATCCTCCAAAGCCGTAAAGCCCCTAAATGAGCAGCCCAAGCCCGCCTTTCGCATCATGAAATCCCCGCCGCGAATGAAGGGCTTGTTGCCGTGATTTCGCCTGGCATGACACGAACCAAGGACAAGACTGCTGACAGGAACAGCAACATCGAACTACCGCTGTTCAACTAAAGCGGTTCAGCGACAAAGCAGACGCACTTCGCAAGGCACTATTCGTACCTGCTGCCTGTTGCCATTCTGGGTGGCATGGTTGTTCGTGCAACGGCTATCACTGTCATGTCTATGATCCATCTAACACCCCCCGAAGACTGACAAAAGGAGCCGGATCATGATAATACCTACGTTGACGATGTCATCAAAGGTGGGTCTGTGGGTTCAGGGTTTAATTAGGACGATGCACGTGATGATGGAAACGATTGCCAGGCAAATGCTGATCGTGACTCACCACGCACCTTCTTATCGCTTCTTTTCTCTCATCACATTGGGCTATTGCAAACGTTCGGACGAGTGCCGTTCAGAGTTATACGCATCTTATGAAATGCTGGCAGTCGCAGCAGTAGAAGCAGCAGCCATGTCAGTAGTTTTGTTGTCGTCGCCGTCGTAGTAGCGGCAGCGGAGTCACACAAATGGCATGAAGCAAAAACAGCAGCACTGATAAGTACGGAAGAACACGAACTGACACCAATTGGGGATGTCCGCATCTAGCCTTACACGCAAAGCTCAACTTACCAGCCGCCGCTCAATCAGCCGGGAGCTCAATCGCACTACCAGGCCGCCACATTGCCTCAGTAACAGATGCTGTGATCTAGGCTGGCATAATATAGAGTCCTTGATAATTGGAACTGGGCTTCGGGTTAGGATATGCTACGATTCCCGTAACAGTCTAGGAACTTACTAACTCCTCCCCCCTGCTCAGTCATTTACGCCCCCCATGTTAGAACCCAGAGCCGACATCTTCTGCCGCCAGACACGGGGGATCACTGCCAGGGTGTTAGAGCTCAGGGTAGTTCAGGGTTTAGTCTTAATTGTATACCACTATATGACATGCATGATGACATATCAAAAATAAGTCAAAATAAATGATGATATTATTGAATTATGGTGCTTGGGCCGCTTGGGGCTTCGGGCTTCGGGCTTAGAGGTTAGGGTTGGTTTAGGGTTGAGGGTTCAGGGTTCAGGGTTTTAGGGTTTAGGGTTTAGGGCTTTAGGGTTGAGGGTTTTAGGGTTTAGGGTTGAGGGTTTTAGGGTTTAGGGTTTAGGGTGGCCTGTCGAGACACGAACCTACTAGTGCCCTTGCATCTTGGCGGATAGCAGGATAGCACTCGTCACTAGTACCAGCACATGCTACGAGACCACTCAGAGAAACCGTCCTTTTCATGCGGCGGCGAGGGTCTTTGCATCAAAATCTTTAATTATGACACTGGAGTCCTTTCAGCCACTCAAACACCACCAAGCCGCAAGTATTTGCATAAGTATGCTGCTGTTTCAACTGCGTTGCTACTCCTCTTCCATGCGGTCTGTCCACATATACAGACACGAAACAGGAGCATCGTCAGCCCCTAGCACCACTCTGCCAACTTCGACAAATCCTCCTCTCCATGCTGCTACTGCTATGCCTCATTCTATTGCAACGGTTATCGCTACTGCTACTGCTACCACTGCCGCTGCCGCTACCACTACTGCTACGGCCACCACTACTGCTGCTACACTACGACTGCTACCACGGCGCCTGCTACTACAGAACCTACTCCTGTAGCAGTCTTATAGCAGTAGCAGCAGCAGGAGCAGTAGCAGCAGCAGTAGTAGCAGCAGTAGTAGTAACACAGGAGCACAATAGTGGCAGGTGTGCAGCAGCAGCAGCAGCAGCAGCAGCAGCAGCGGCAGCAATATGTGTGGTTCTTCACCATCGCCCTGTCACAACTCCAAACTCCGAAGAATCGTCGCTGGCTACACGTAACATGTGGCATTCAAGGACTCACGAGATGCCTGTAAAGGGCTGGGAAGGCGAAAAGCAAAGTCAAAGAGGTGGCACGAAGAAGCGCTGCAAGCCGCAGCTACAACGAGGCCGAGGCCCAAGAGTTAGGAGGAGTCTCGAACTGGGACTGCCCCCCCATTTCATTTTGAAAACGAGACGCATGCGTTCATGCGGCTTCCTCTCAAGCAATGAGTTCAGCAATACATTAGTGTACATAATGCGGGCTGTTCTGAGAGGACTAAGCTTAAAAATTACGATTCCCGGCTAAGAATACATTCTGTAACACCTGAAAGATTCGTCCCGGAACAGCCCACACGTAGCTCATTTTCTGCATTGGAAAAGGATTTTTCTGAGGAACCTGCAGGCAGCCTGTACCGGCTCCCCCAGCATCATACCGTAGACATAGCACCCGCTGTCGACTTACTCCCAAGCTGGTCCACGCCGCATCTCGACCTTCTTCTGAAAAGCATGCGGGTAGGTCGCCACAGCGATAAGGTAAGCCTCAAGCTCCTGGACGTACAGCTCGTGAGTCGCACGAGTCGGGTAGAGCGCATCTTGAGGCGGTCCTGGGATGATGCAAACCCTGTCATGGCGAGACATTCCTTCCCTGGTGCAGCTGCCCCCACAGCCCATCAAGGCGACTCCGGATCTCTAAAACAGTCTCTGCGCCAGCTGTGCCTGTGTTAAGACGACTGAAAGTGAGCCATCTCTTTTGCATGGGTCGAAGTGACATGCTCTGACTCTGGCACAAAAGGGAAGATTAGGGGCAAGAAGATTTAGCTGGCATTAAGGGCTGCCAGCTACACTGATCTAGTCCCAAGCCTCAGACACTACGTGAAGGAACAGACGGTGCACTATCCTCCTTCTCGCCCTACCTCTAGCTTGCATACTAGAGGAGAAATCAGCATCGTCATGCCAGATAGAAAGGTCAAAATCCGAAAGCAATCCCCACGCTATTGCATCCGAGGTAAACTGCTCCACACTGCCGCAGCCCCTAATTCCGGAAGACGTCCTAGCATACCTAAGTGCGGGTCCTCAATCTAAACCCTAATTAAGCCGGCATCATCTTAGACAAGAGCCCTAAACCCTGAACCCTACACACTAAACCCTGAACCCCAAACCACACACACTGAACCCTAAACCCCAGACCCTAGACCATACACAATGAACCCCAAACCATAAAGCCTGAACCCTAAGCCATATACCGTTGACACACAGAACAGCTACCGCAAGGCTTCGGCTCAATCCGGCGGCGCTCGCCGTCCAGGTCTGGCCTGGGCGGGCTTTAGGGTGCTAGGGTTTAGGATGTTTAGGGCTTTAGGGGTTTAGGGTTGAAGGCTTGAGGGTTTAGGGTTTAGTTTAGGGTTTTCAGAGTTACGGTTCAGGAGTTTAGGGTTTCGAAGTTTAGGGCTTGAGGTTTGGGTTATTGGGGTGTTGGGGCAATTCGGGTCTGGGGTTTAGGGGTTTGGGGCTCAGGGCATTGGTCTGTGAAACTTCTTGCTAAGGTCTCCCCTACTACCCTTAACCGCCTTAACCCGAAACCCTGACCCCTAGACCATAGCCTTCAGGAGCATGTCTGAGCCCTCAGCTTGTGGTCCATGGTGAGCTGCTCCCCTTCGTGGAAAGCAAGGTCGGCGGACCAAACAGCTGTGGAAAAAATGAGACACCCAGACTGACGAGATGCTGCCAAGATGACCATATATGAAAGTTTCGAGTTGGTGCCGTGCAGTGCTTATGCGCTGCATGTGCTTTGCGCTGACGTTGCTGATGCTGTCTGCGGGTCCGGTTGCTTTTGGTGCTGCTGCGATGTCCCTGTAGTGAGGACGGACACACGATGACGGCAAACATGACGATGATGATTGCGACAGCGACGCAAGCAACAATGATGTTGCTGCCGAAAACGGAGATGACGGCTGATGATAGCGACAAGCAGATGATCGCTTACCAACATCATTGCGATGATCGACATGATGATGATGATGATGATGATGGTGGTGATGATGGTGGTGGTGGTGGTGGTGGCGGCGGCGGCGGTGGCAGTTGGGGTTCGCCAGGACGATGAGATGGTGACGACGATGACGATGCTGACAATGACGACAAGCATCTTGATGCTGCAGATGCTCCTCGTCATCATATTCATGATCATCACCATGAGCCTCATCAACATCATCATGGAAATGAACACGGTGGCACGGCGATGACGACACCACGATTGCGATCACGGTGGCGGTGGCGGCGAAGACTGCGACCGTGACGACGAGGTGAGTACGGAGACGATGACGTGAGAATGATATGCGAGATGAGATGAAGGTCGCGATGTCATCCTTCGCTCTGCTGCTCTATGCACGGCTCTACGCTGCACTGCCATCACTTGCCACTTTACCAACCACTGGC